AGTACCTATATAACGTACTAAAACAAAATTGTTTTTTAAACAAGATTGTGTGCCTACAACACATACAACTACAGTATTATATAGGTACCTACTGAAAAATTGCAATTATAAAGGAAAGTTACCTAAAACGGGACACTGTTTAAAATGGGACACTGTTAGTTTTGCAGTGATGCTTAGGCGCCACCTATTGCGAAACGTTATATGTGATTGTCCACAGAGAAAGACATCTGCTACAGTTTTACCGAAGCTCCGTTGGTATCACAAGCGGCTACAGGTGAGTTTGAAACTTTTTCACAATTTTCGTATAAGAAATTTAGTTAACAATCGTAAGCGTACCCTTTTATCAGTTGGTCAGATTGAAACGCTACTACAGTTATTAGTTTCCCTATCATATGCCTTTACTTTAAAGGTAAAATTATTGGGTTCAGTTTGTAGGTTACAAAATGGTGTTTTGTTTTTAGTCGATGTTTACATGTTGATAAAATGGGACACCGGCCGTCTTGCTAAAACGGGATAGTATCCCATTTTATAAACACGCGGTGTTTTCTATCCTATTATTCTGTGCCGAAAGGTAATATTCATGTTGTAATTTTTCTTGCTTATATAAGGAACTTCCGAAAAATAAATATGGCACCAAGGAAAACAAATCGTCAGTCCTGGTCGGAAATCGCAAGTTTATATTTTGATATCATATTTCCATAAATTATAAATAAAATGGCGGTTACTGCTTTCAAGCTAGGTATGTTATTAGAAACGATGGGAATGATGTACACAAAAAATCAGTAAATCCTATTAGTTGATGCGGTTACTGCTTTTTAGTGTAGTATTTTCCCCAACGGATTGCATTATTAACAACAAAACGCATTTCGCTTTATTAACTTTATTAAAGAATTTTCTTATCAGTAAGTGTTACAAAATAGTCAAAATTAAAAATTCAATCAAAATTTCATTAATGTAAAAACCAGGGTAAAAACAAACAAAAAAAACCCTTTAAATATCATCTAACTTTCAATCTTAAGTCAGCGGCTGTATCATTGAAGAGAAGATTCTGCCAAAATTGTTTGCGATTTTCAGGTATCAATGTTAACAAATTTTGCAAAATCGCTTGCTTTCTTTCTTCTTTAATCCCTCTTGCTTTGGAAATCACTGTTGGTGGTTTGAAGCCACCTTTGGCTACTTTAAATTTCAAAAAATGTAAATCTTTGGTTTCATTTGAACCGAAACTTGTTTTATAAAATATAATTAAAGAGACCTCGTCGAGCAACAACTTCAACCATATCTTTTAACTAGGGTCGAGGTGTTGTATGATTTATTTTGTAAATTGACGAGTTATCAGGCCAAAGAAAGAAATCTTCCAGCTTCATTTCTTTGGTATCCACTTTTCCAGAATTAGCTGATTGAACGCAAGATACAAAATCAGAAAAGTCATACACTTTTTTCATCCGCTGCAAAGACTTATGCCCTAGTTCAAAATATCTAAGGGTTATTGTTTATGCTGAAATTTCATTAGAATTGATAATGTAGACTAAGTAAGAGAACAGTTACCAGTTCTTGTTTTGGCCTGCACAGTTATCAAGCCCAATTATTATATTTTCTACATCACGCATGTGCAACATACATGCATGAATAAAATTGTGCTTATCAAATCTTCCTTTTTACGTCCTGCTATGCACTCATGCCAGAGGCACGCAAAGGGCTTGATTTTCTGTTTTTTTTTCCAACTGCGACAAAGGTTTCGTTGAAAACGTTTATTCTTTGTAGAAACACAACTCTTTTAAACATATCAATTCTGTCAGCTTTTTGGAGGAACTGTAATTATGGTACACCAATACCACCACAGTTTATATAAAGAAATGAAAAAGAAGAACCAACTGACAAGCTTCAACTTAAACGCGCAAATGACATTTCTGGTGGGGCATCTCGCGATAAGGTCATGCAGTTGCTAGATTAAAAAGCAGTATCTCCATTTTGTGTGGGAGATACTACCTTTAAGTCTTGTATATGGTTCTTACTATCTTTTTGCTTAGGAATATTCAACAACAAGTGGAGATACTGCAATGTCGATCATTTACCACACCAATGCATGAGCACTTACGGCTTTCTAACTTTGCAAGGACCGGTAAAATAGTGTAAGGAACCTATAGCAAGTAGAAAACCAACAATGGTAAAAATTGGAGATACTGCCTTCTTGCTTAGGACGGCAGTACAGATGTCAGAAGACTAGCATACCAGTTCGCAGAAAGGAATAATATAAGGCATTTCTTTAATGCTACACAGAGAAAAAAACTGTTTTAACTCAAAAAAATTTTCTTTGGTCTAAAGAAATTTCGACTTTAAATAGCGTCAATGAATATTTCTTTCAAGGTTAAAGAAGATTTCTTTGGATTTATAAAGAAATATTACCATTACATAAACAAAATATTATTTGACTATAATAAAGACGTATTGTTGTTTCAAAAAAATTATTTTTTTCGATTTATGAAATATTTTGTTAACTACCATAAAATACTTTTTACAACGAAAAAACATTTTTTTCAACTAAAAGAATAATATTTCAATGCAAAACTGCATGTTTATTGACATAGTTTTTATTTGATTCCAACAAAGTGTCATTTACTTTAATTTAAATAATTAATTCTTTGGATGTAGAACAATTTATGTTCATATAAGAAAAAATGTGTTTGCATTTAGTGCTTTATGCTTTGTATTTAATAAACAATACACTTAAATTAAGAATAGTAATTCATTGAAATTTTCTGTACCTAAACAAATAAAAAATATTTTGTTGAATATTTTTATTATTTTCGTTATTTATAAATGCAGTAGAGATACTATACAAAAAATAAGATAATAATAACATAACTAAACTAAAACTAAAATACACACAAAAACAAATAAGTCCAGTGTTGTCACCAAAATTGGTTTTTAATAAGATTTCACAAGAGTTCTGTCACTAGAGTGATGCGTACACTGAGAAAAAAGTTTGCTTAGAGTAAACAAATTTTATTTTGAGTTAACAAATATTAAGTTCAAATATCAACAAACAAATAAAAGATTTCTATTAGCAAATAGTTTACTCAATTATGGTGAGTAAAGATAACTTAACACCTACAAACAGTATTTTCACCATTAAGCAATAAATAATTGAAATCAATCCTACATATTTGTTTGAAGACAATGCTATTCATTAACTGTTAACATACAATCATTATACCCAATGCCACAAACTTTTTAATAGTAATGTTGTAAAATAACTATAAATTTGATATTTACTAACTGTTAAAGAAGGCCAAACTACTATTAAATTTTGTTTAATAATTATAATGGAATATATGATAATATAAATATAAAGGTATTTTATTATTAAGAAATGTTTTGTATTAATTCCGGTATAAATTATACTTACCACAATTTCTCTACTAATCACAAAGTGATTTAAGAATTATGCACTTTGATGGATACAAAATACTTATTAACTGTTAATAAATATTTGATAGGATTAAATGGGATGTAAGTTAAATAATATTAACAACAAAGGATCCAAATCAATGTTTATTTAAAAAAAATCCAGTAGAAAATCCTAAAAATATGTAACTCCCTTAAAAACCTATATGTTTACTTTACTAATAATAAAAAGAAAAATAACAAATTACTTATTCTACTTTAAACATATTTAAAACATATTTTCCACCAGCAACCAAATGTATATTAAACGTCCGTATTCGTTTAAATTGATTGATAGAATAAAATTTAAAGTTATTGGAGAATGTGTTCAACATATAGCTACACCTATCAGGCTGTATAGTGATATCGGTAATAACATTACAAAATAAAAACACACATTCATCTTCTGTAGAAAATATAGACTTTACAATACCAACTACAGGTAATTCACCTTCATCCTCTGGAAGTATCAACGCGCAACCAATTGTGAAATTCACTCCATTAAATTTAAATGACTCAACTTCGAAAAGAGATGCTGAATTCGGTACGCGATCTTTTAATAAAATTCTATGGGTTTCATCCATTGTGTTTTTTGTTTTTCCAAACTCTAAATTATCTCGTAACCCAATTTTGCTATGAAAACGGTAACAAAGTTGAAGTTGATATCGAAGTGATAATGTTTTTAAGATGTTAACTCGCGATGTGACAATGTGTGCATTGGTTTTTCCAACCCGGTGGAACGCTTCAAATCGAATGGATGATACTCTACAAATGGGTCCAATTTTTTCTATTATACTTGGGTAATGAGTCAAAAAATGGTATTTGGGTTTAAGTTTTTCTGTAAATAAATCAAGGTATAACTGATTATGTTGTTTGATCAACTGTTTAAAATATTTCAATTCATCTAAGCTGAACTCTTCTTTAGTACTGCACAATATTACTTCATATAACAAGCAATAAAAAGACCATCCTTCATCTTCACGATCGATCAAGTCGAAAACTAGCAATGAGAAGTACACCACAAACGCTAACATTTCAGAAGCTGACATTGTTAAACACTTTCTTTTAATTTGACTTTCTATTATTGTAGGAATTTTGTTTCCTACATCCAATTTTTGATTGTAATCAAAATACTTAATCCTGCGATTTAACACTTCTAATCTAAAAAATCTTTTTACATATATAAATCGGTATAAAATGTGGGCCATGTCATAACGGCAAACACCCTCGTGTAAATCGTGCATAATATCACATGCAGTATTTATCGTTGTGTGAAAATTGGGTAAATCGTTTAAAATGCAGTATTCCTTGACACCTCTAGTTTTGTTGGACACATCCTGCATATAATTATTTGGATTCCTTATACTAGTTTCATCTTCAACACACATAGAGTCACATTCCACCTTAGAACAGAAACAAAATCGGCAATAATAGCCTGAAGAAAAATTTTCCCTCATACCAAGTAGCGAGTTGACCCCTAAATTATCTCCCAAAACCAAAAATAAACTGAAATAGACTTTAATGTCCTCCCCAGAAAAATTAACATTTATTCCATCGGTTTCCAATTCCAAAATTTCGTTAAAGAATATTTGTAATATAGCTTTATTCCCCAAAATGATTCTGTCCGAAGAATAAAAAAATCCAAATAAAAACAAATTTTGCAGTCTTGATGAATATTGCGGTGGGATTCCCCCAACTGTAAAATATACTGCACCTACTTTATGTAATCCAGCTTGAGTTCCCAAGGGATTACCACATTCAAAATCATCGAAGTATATGATGAGCGGGAGGACAATGTCTTTTTTAAGTCTTTCTTTCATAGTTTTCCATAAAGAAGCATTGAACATGCTAGTAATTGTTTCAGAATTTTTAGACTCCGTATCGATATATTTCAATATAACTGATAATACGTTATCAGTCTCTAAAAAGCGCTTTAAAACCTTATGTATGGGTACAATCTGTGCATTGCACCATCTAAAATCTAAGTAAACTGAACCATGCTTTCTTTTATCCTCCAGCACTCTACCAATCTCTACATTATTTGCTTTAATAAAACTACAACTATTTTCGAAATATTTAAATCTGTTATGTTCAGTTAGAATTTCTTGAAAAGGATTACTTGAAAAAATTGTCTTAAATTTAACGTAGACTTCTTCAGGTATTTTATCAGAGACCGAGTTTAATATAGCAATAAAATTTGAAAATAAATCACCAAATAATTCATGTGTGGTTTCAACTACTTCTTGTATGTATTTTCTTGTCACATTTGTGTTTTTGTAAAATTTTATGAGGAAGGCAATAATCAAATCAAAATAATTATCATTAAACTTACAGTTTTCAATAATTGGTTGATCGTTAATACTTCCAGTGGAGCAAACGCTAGATTCAGTTTCAGTGTATACAGATTGCACGATGATAGTACTTGGAGTATCATTTTGAACATTTGGGTGCTTGGCGTTTATATGCCTTTTTAAACAATAAAGTGTCCTAAATCTCTGTAAACAACTCTGAAACCCACAGGTAAAATTTTCTTCATACTTATGCAAAGCTTTAACATGTGAAACAAAAAAGTCTTTGTTCTCAAATGAACTAAAACATACTCTACAAAAAAACATATTCTACAAAACAAGTATAGCATACGTAAGTAATAGAATAATGAAACATAAATCACTTATACGCGTTTTAACTTATTGATAATATCAATTATATTTGGGATTTTAGTGTCCCATTTTGTATACAGATTGTAAATGGAGTTTTGAATAAATGTCCATATGTGTTCGGATTGGAATTGATACCTTATATGGTATACATGATACGCTTTGAAGCATATATCTAGCGCCTTTAGAACAGTAGCGACAGGATATAATTCCCCAAACATATAGGCATAGGTTTTTTGTATAACTGCTCCGGACCCTTGGACTATAATGAACGGCTGTATGGGAATATCCAGGGAACTAAGCTTCTGTACTTTTGACTCAATAAGAGTTTCCACATCAGCTGGAAACTGAAAATAAAAATAATACAGTTCATATATAACCCTCGTATATAACGTTAACGGGATCCATTTCGTTGAAAATGATATACTTATAGGTTGAAACTCAAAACAGGTCAAATAAATTAATATGACAATGAGTGTAGATACCTACTCCAAACCTACCCTTTACGTACTCATATTGAAAAATTAAATTTAAATAAGAGGCTACATATTTCCTCTATGTCAGTTTCCGAGTTCAGATCCACAAATTATATGCAAAGAACAATATAAAATTTAATAATTAGGATAGTAATTATGATTAATTATTGTCTCGTGATAAGAGAAATGTGAAATTAAGCGTAAATTGTGAATCAACATGGATGTGAATTGATGAAAAGCGGGTTCTAACATTGCATATTTAAAATAAATAGTAATTCACTCTACCTCTGCTTTTAAGATAATTCCCTCCTTGCAATCACTTATTTTGGGCTTCCATTGCTTACTTCCATAAATATGTCTCGATTTGTATGGAAGTAATGACCCCAGTAAGGAAATCATCACATAATGCTTATAATCTACAATAAAAAGAAGTATTAGTTTCTACTGCTCATTTGTTTAGGGGGCTCCTTTCAGATCACGTCCCTGAATATTTCATAATATCCAATGTTTTATATTCTGCATAAGCATTGAATAAAAACACTATTTTGTTCAATGGTATATCTATATACCTAACACATGCATCAAAACGAAAGAGGTAAGTAATATCCAATGATTGAAAGCTTGTCAGTGATGTTCAAAAAATTTAAATTCCAGTTTTTGGTTTTTGAAAAAGTTTTTTTTTCGGTTTGATTCCCTCTAATTTAACTCAACTAATGAAAAACGCTTACCTTTATTAATATTTTCAGAATCCAATATATCTATCAAAATTTTGTCACTATCAATTGTCACAAATTGTTTCCTTAGTTTTATTAATTTAGATATTACAGTTTCCCAACTAGAAAATATGTCTGGTTTTTGCGGATAAATTCTTTCGAAGTCCCTTTCAATCTGAAATTTTAAATAATTAATCATAATAATAGTCAGGTATGCATTTAACAGATAATTTTTAAAATATTTAAACACATCGATATCCAAGTGAAGGTGATACTACCAACTTGATAAGAATAATTATTTTGATACCATAATTCAAAACACACTCACCAACGTTAAACCTATAGTAAGTTTCAAAATAGGATACTCTAACAAATATTCTTTTCCATCTTTTTCTCCCTTCAAATATTGTTGACGCCGACAATGAAAAGTTATATCCCAATGCTTGCAGACTTCTTCAAATGGTTCCCTATTGTGTTCAAGCCAAACGACACTTTTTTTTACAGTCTCATCTGTCAATTAGAAATGATTAACTTAAACAAAACAATACTTAAAATGATGTTACCAGAATCAAACTCTGCACGCTCTTGCACATCGTCGCATGCTTCAGTACTCTTGTCTCCACTCCTAGTTGGCAATATGCCCGATTCTCTAAGAAATGTCAATTTGTTTCTAAATTTATCTACCAGTTTCCCTTTCGCTACACCAGGTTTATTATCTCGGGAGTCTCTTTTCTTTATGGGCGGAAGGTAATACGCTTCTTTAGTTTCGCATGGAAACAATGCGATGATTTTAGAACTCAAGAAATTGAAGTCTTCGTTTTTCAAATGCCTATAAAAGTAACATAAAATGGATACTAAACATAAATAAACTTACGTCGTATAATTCAAAATTTCGGTCGTGATGATATCAACCAGGTAACTTTGACGAGTGCTGTCAAATCCCCCCTTGATGTCATACCAGGATAGAAGTGCTTTCCCTACAGCAGACCCACTTAAAAGGTTCTTTAAATCAAAATTTTCTAGGTAGCTTTTTAGCGTTTTCTGTTTTTTAGGTTCACTTTCCGGTTCAGGTTGCGGCTCGGGTTGCGGTAAGGACAGAGGAAAACTATACTCAACTGGATCGGTTAAGTTATATTCCAGTGGATCGGAGCTATGTGAAACTACTGATGGAGATGGTGCGACAGAAGAAAGTATTAGAAAATTGGTTTCCGATACTGATGGTGTAGTGCTCTGTTCGAAATCTCTGCAACATAAAACAAAACCAAAAATCTAAACCATACATATTGCTTCGAATGCTGTTTTATACAGTGATTTTTATGAAACAGATAATTTTTACCAGGGTATATTTTTTATCCTACAAGAAAATGAAATTTTCGCAACTGTGCTGAGTGGAAAAATCAAAGAACGCAATACTACTTTTTTCTATAAAATGAGGATGCAATTTCAATGAATTCGGATACCGAGACAACATTAGTTACCAAAAACAAAATTTGTCTATTTATTTCCCAAGTAAAACAACCAAAAACTGCGAGACAAACTGTTAAAAATTTTTTTGCAAACTCAAAAGTAACTAAATTAAGCAAATATAGCAAACTAGCTCCTGAGTATGTCTATATAGCTTGACATTGTGTATTATGTGGCAAATGGCTCCTTATTTTTTGACCTACATTGCAAATTCACGAACTTCGATCTACAAATTTGATAAAAAATCCACAAGCAAAATTTCATCGCAATTGGTCCATTCGTTTTCGAGATATCGTGCTAACGGATAGGAAGACGGACAGACATCACAAAATTATGAACTCGCCAGGAGCTCGTTAATAAAGAGAGGGATTAAATTTGAACTTACTCGGTGTTACTGGGTGGTTCATTTCGATGCAAATATTGCTCTAATTTTCGCTTAAAAATAATCCTTTCCCCTAACTTCGGAATGATTTCTTTTATATTTTCCCCCTTCAATAATTCAGGGAGAATATCGGATGTTATCCCATGAGCTGAAAGGATAAAACAATCATTTAAAATGTGTCCTAAAGATTCATTTGCAACTCTCAATATTATATGGAAAAGATGGAAATTTTAAATTTGCTATTTGAAGTAAATACTGAAAACCAACAGTCTAAGTAACTGAATTTTACATTATTTAAAATTTTTTTCACCCAATTCTCTAGCAATGAACAATGGATCAATGCAAATTTCTTGTGAATAATTGCGAGTTAAAATGAACTGCAAATCCCTTATGTATAGCATGCGAGGAATGCATGTTTGTGTTTTTTTCTGTCTGTTGCAAAATAGTACTACTACACTACTTTAGAAACTAATAAAGGTACTCACTTAAGTCACTTACCTACAAATACTTCAGAAAAATCCGCTAAACCCGCCGCCTCAACAATTTCCGCTAGATTCCGGTCCATCACAAAATTGAAACTGCACAACAGATGCGATTTGTTGGATTTCGATTTTCAGGAAATAAACGCAAATCACATTGACAATGTTTTATAATATCACCCCAGTAGACTAATTCAATTAACTGCGCAACACTATCAAATCCTCAAAAACAAGATGTAAAATAAAACAAGATGTCAACTGAACACATCAACTTTGCTGTATGCATCAGTATGGTACTTCGTATAATAACGCGCTTACCTCGTCAGCAAAATCATAATGGTTCATAATAAGCTCAGCATTCTTTACTGTTACAAAGTATCATGTTATTTTAGACTTGTAAGCGCTCATCCTAAAGGTGATTTGTTTAAAACTATACCAGTATATTAATATCTAAAATACACACAGATACTATATGATTTTTTATATATTAAAGAATGTCTATCTTAATGTTTAATAAACGATCTTAAGAGTTAAAAACGGTATGTAACGATAAATAAATGTTACCTAAACAAATTGATTTGTTAAATTTAAACAATACTTTTCGCTCAGTGTACTAGGTATACGGTGTTATATTAGAAATCTCGCTGTAACGTAATATAATGGAACCAAAAGTTTCATCAGATACTTCGTATGCTTGCACATGTGTGTCGTAACCAATTGTATGCAACCGTGATGCAAAAAACACAATATCGCTAGAATTAGGGGAGATTATAAAAATTTGATCAATTCTACAAAAACACGTTTTATTATTTTCATCATCTATAAAACTTTCCAGCACAAATCCACACTTGTACAAAATATTATATACTTTTACCCAAGAAACTTCAAAAGCTTCGTCTAAACACAGATTTTCATATGTATTCCTTATAATTGATCTAATACTACTTGACAACTCAGGATTAATAATTTTGTATTGCACATTGGCTGAAAAGCCTTCTTTTGCTAAAATTTTGTATGACAAGCGGAGCTGATTCTTTATTGACAAAGACAGTAAAATATTTTTTCTAGAGGTAATGCTATTGGCAATGCTTTTTAATATTTTATGATAGCCTTCAAACCTCATTGTCCATAAGTTTGTAGGAAGACCAATATTCAGAATTAGTGATGGGTAATGTAGTAATATGTGATGTTTTGGTTTAAGTGTTGTATTAAACAGTTCAGAATATAATACGTGATGTTCTTCAAGTAGTGTTTGAAGATATACTACTGTCTTTTTGATATTGTCTTACAGAATATTAACAATTTCATTGGTTAATAAATAAAACAACCACACTTCATCGTCTTGTGGTATCAGATCACCTACGATCATACCAAAATAAGTCACGAAAGCTAACATTTCTGATGCACTCATGGTAATATAATTTTTTTTCAAATGCTCATTTTTGATTTCCGGTATTGGATTTCCACGGTCTGCCTCACAAATTTTGAAGTATTTTATTCTTTCATTTAAATGTGGTAACGTTATATACTTTCTATTAATTAATTTGTTTATTATATATGCCATTTCATACCTAAGAGTCCCTTCCAACAAATCGTGCATTACATCACATGAAATTTGGACTGTTACGTGAAAACAACATAATTCATTCCAAATGCACGGTTCTTTAATTCCGAATGACAAAGAAGAGGCGTCTTCTTCATAATTTATAGGATTTCTAATTAAACTCATATTGAGAGATGATGAACATTGTGTAATATCTTTTGACATTTTACATATCCTACAAAAGTAAGTCGAGTTAAAACTTTCATTAAAACCAAGTATTGCATTTAGACCTAAATTGTCACCCAAAATTGCAAATAACGTAAAATATATTTGATACTTTCCCGATTTAGTACTAACACATATACCATTAGTTTCTAAATATTTTAGCTCTTGAATGAGGTTTGTGAATACTTTTTTATTGCCAAATTCAGTTCTATCTGATGAATAAAATAACTGGGCCAATAATATGTTATCTAATGTGCTGGAATACAAAGGGGGTACACCAGCTAAGCTAATATAAACAGCACCAATTTTATGTATTCCAGATTTTGACCCAAGAGGGTTGCACGACTCAAAATCATCAAAATATCAATACAAAGGAAACATGTTTTTGTCTTTGTGGTGTACCTTCATTTGCTTCCAAACATTCCCTTGAAAAATACTTGTGATATTATCACCAGTCTGAGAGCATTCGTCTGCCATATAGGACGTAATAGTCTCATAAACACCGGGTACTTCTAAATATTTTTGTAACATTAATCTTAAAGAAATTTTTTGTCCTTCTACTCTTTGAAAAATCATTGTGGGTGTTACAGCACTGCTATGCGGTATAGATTTTTCTGAAATAAAGAAAGATTCTGGTTTAATATAAGAACTTGTCTTGGTAAAAAACTTAAATCTTAAATGTTCTGATCTAAATTCATTAAATACTAATTCAATTTCTTCAAATAATTTTAATAAATTACAACATTTAACACCGCTTAAAGAAAATTCTGTATCATCATTTATACGAAAATTCGATTGTATATATGAAAAAGCACTATTTAGTAATTCTTTAAAAAAGTCTATAATCATTTGTAAAATATTACGAGGAAGTGAAGGTATATTATAAAGTTGAGCAATCATTGTGATAATCTTCGTTTGAAAATCGGACAAAGTGGTTTTTGCTAGACTATTATTGATAATATCTTCAGTTTTGCTACTGTTTAAAAATTCGGTTAGATGGGAAGAGGTGCATGCATCGTCTTCAAAATTAGTTTTAGGTACATTATGTGAATCATGTTTGTGCTCAAACCTGAAATGTTTTCTTAGTCTGTCTAAAAGTGGATAAGATTTGTTACATTTTTTACACTCGTACCTTTCACAAAAAGGATGTGTAAGCTTAATATGGGACACTAAAACATCACCGCTAGTAAATGTTTTCAAACATTTAAAACATTCCATAATGACGCTAATGACAACACTGGACTTATAACCAATCTAATACAATACAAAATATAGATTTCAAGATTATAGATACATATTCGAAACACTTTTTTAAACGCTATTTACATTCTAATAAAAAATATATGAAATTGTAATTACTATAGAAAATACTTAAAAAATATTTTGAACATAAGGTATTTTTAAATCATTCTTTGTTTTTAAATTATACACATACCACTGAATAACATACCACAAATGTCTGCACTCAAAAGAATACTGTGCATCCAATACGTGGTGCACTTTAAAACAAAAGTCAAGTGCAGATAGCACAGAGCTTAGTTTGTAGGTATGATTATCCACGACCACATAGAAACTACTTACATTGCCTAAAGTTGGTCCAACTAAGACCATATACGGTTGAATGGTAAGACCTTTATTATAATAGTAATCTGTTCTTTTCTGCTTTGCGTCTGAAAGGTCTGCTGGTGTTAAAACATGCAAAAGAAGACCATCACGAGCTTCTGTTGAAGACGGTTTCCACACTTGACGTTTAATTCTAGTGCTGCTGCGAGGTGGAATTAGCGATGAAATTAGATGGATCTTTATTGCATTTTTGGAATCTGCAAATAGAAATAAATATACATGTTAATAGTAATAATATAGTTATAAAGCTTATCATAAATAAATTAATCACTTGTTACATTCACGTCACGTGATCAGATGTCCAGTGACTAATCAAACCTTTTAATATTTTCAAGCTAAACCAATCAATTTCATTTCATGTAAACTAGGTTGCAGTTAAAGAAACGAGCAATTACGGTTGATGTTTGAAGAGAAGTGCTTACAATATGATTAAAATAGTTAAGTACCTTGCGTTATTTCTGTGTTCAATAATTCAAGTAAAGTTGCATCAATTGCCGATAGCTGCTTTCTTTTAGCTTCCAGCAACCTATCAAAAAACGTCAGGAATGCTTCTTGAATATCAATATCAACTTGAAACATTTGACGAAAATCATAATCCACCTAAAAGTAGCTTGTAAAAAACAAGTTTTACACATAAAACCGAAACAACTACCAAGTCCGGTGCCCATTGTGTTTCTAAAATGGGCCAGTCCGTAAAGAAATTTTCAATGCTTGATAACGCCGTGCGATTGGCTCTAATGTTGAACGAATTGGTCCAATGCACTAGAACTTCATCTCTGGGCTCAACATTGTGTTTTAACCAGATCTGACTGTCAACAGCTTCTCTTGATGGAATCTCTGAAAAATTTTGTAAATTTAGCGTAATTTTTTACTTTTAAAATATTTTTACCTATATCATGTGGCTGCTCTGTAGGTTTTGTAATACCTAAAGCTTTCTTTAAAGCATAGGTACGATTTCTATATTTATCAATTAGTTTACCTTTGATGGCGGTGATGGGTTTGTTAGTCAATGATCTTCTTTTTGTTATTGGACTTACATAGTAGGTCTCCCTTTTTTCATCTGAAAAAACCTCCACGATTTTTTCCGCTAGACAAGATATTGACGAGTTATCTAGTTTAATATTTTTGTTCAAAAAATATGATATAATGATTTCCGATAAACAATTTCTGTCCGCAAAAGTTAATTTTTTATTTTTTTGTCCTTTAAGTGAGAGCACTCTGCCTAATGCATTGGAAAGTAATAACTCTTTCAAATTTAAGTTAATGACTTGTAATGTGTCATTTAAACTGTTATTAACAGCGCTTTCCAATACGTGATCAGACGTCCAAGATTCAGCGGTTGTCAGAAGAGAAGAAGAAGATGGTCCTGACGTCCAAGTTTCGGTTGTAGTAAGTGAAGATGTAGACGGCCCTGATTCCGTATTAAGAACTAACAAAATATCGTCATTTAGTTTAGGTATTTTTTGTGGCGGTTCTTCTGCAAATATTTCTTGGATTATTACTGGATTTTGCGGCGTTCTGAGAGGTGTTATGTTTTCAACGATAATTTCAGGTTCATTGCCTTGCTCTTGATAATCCAAAGAATTTAAATCCGATACGGATACCTGCTTACAAAAAAAAACAGATAGAAAGTTACACGCAATTGATTCAATTAGATCAAAATTTCAACGGGGGTGGAAACCACCCTTGATTTTTAAATAGGAAAGAAGGGTTAAGAGATGTTTCGT